ATGTCGGTCACCGCCGGCCGCCGCTGGTCGATTGGTTGCTTTGCCGGGTGGCGCCGTGCCTCGCCGCGGCATAGCCATGCGCCGCCGATTCTGCCGGCCGCCGCCGCCGCCGCCGCCGCCCCGCGCCCCGGACGCCCGGCCGCCGGACGCCGCCGCCGCCGCCGCCGCCGCCGGATGCCGCCGCCGACCGCCGCCGCCGCCGTCGCCGGCGAAAAATATTTTCCGAAACTTTTTCATATTGGTCGCCGAACACCGGAAAATTCTATTCCGGGAAAACATTTTCCAGGAAAATGACTTCTGGGAAAATATTTTCCAAAAGGAGAATATTTTCCGCCAAACGAACGGAGCCTTAATGGACGTTTTGATCAGTATGGAGAAAGAGAAAGGAGGGGGGGTATATGCTGTTTGATCTCGACGGAACAAAATCCTTAACTGCGCAAATGATTGGTAAGGCGAGGAGAGGAGCGAGCGAAGGAATTACATCCTGAAGCTGCATCCAAAATAGACATTTTGCGCAACAAATGATGCCGTGATGGTATCCTATTCATACTGGGGAAAATTGTCCAAAAAATTTTAAACCTATTGCATTTTTGCCAATTTAGTCATGAACCTTTGAATTTTGCCAATTCAGTCATAAATATTTTTACTTTTTGCCAATTCAGTCAATCCGATCAATTTTAGCCGGCCTATGCTGACATGGCCGCCGGCTGTCCGACCAACACTGACGTGACAATTTTTAAATAATTTTTTTCTTTTTTTCTTTTCTTTCTTTTTTTTTTCTGCCCCTTCTTCCCTCTAGCCGGTCCGGCGACTGACCAGAGGCGCGGCCTCACCGGCCTCTAGCAAAGCTTGCCCCCAACGGTCACTGGCGAGGGTGAGCCTCACCTGCCACTACTTGGGTGAGACCAAGGCCAACCTCGCCATCGTTGGGTTTCACCTTGGCTAGCGACGGCGGGCCGGCCTTGCCTAGCCAAGGTTAGGCCGGGCGAGCTTTGCCCTAGGCCAATGGGGGCGAGTTTCGCTAGAGGCCGGCAAAGTCGACCTTGCCAGCCCGTGACCGACTAGAGGGAAGAAGGGAAAAAAAAAGAAAAGAGAGAAAAGATATAAAAAAGAAAACAATATTAAAAAATTGCAACGTCAGCGTTGGCCGGGCAGTCGGCGCCGGCCTGCGGCCACGTCGGCACTGACCGGTCAAAATTGGCTAGATGGACTGAATTGACAAGAAGTGAAAAGGTTTATGACTGAATTGATAAAATTGTAATAGATTTAGGACTTTTTGGATAATTTTCCTGTTCATACTGTGTAGCGATTCTTGGTAGCTCTGTCGAACTTCTTGGCACCCTCCTGCAATAGTATCCAAGATATCCAGTCGCGCATATATCATGATATGACTGGAAAAGGAAACACCTAAAATTTAAAAAGCGACACAAGTTGCTCCATGGTCGTCGAAACTCACATGAAATACGAACCCCGCTTTTCTTGCTGTAGCCGAGGAACTCCTTCCCCTGCTTCCAAATGCTCATCTGCAGAAGGCCAGGCTAATGCGAGTAATGTCCGAGTGGCGGGGCGAAGCGATTCGCACGCTAATTTGCTGCTTGTCACTAAATGACTGGAACTAGAACTGGCTCGAAGAAGAGTTTAACTGAGCAGCATCGTCCGAGGCATTTCAGTACATAGACTTACATGGTTACTCTCTATGTTTAAATGTGTAATTAACGCTCTATATAAGTATTATCATCTCACAGTCGTCCTAATTAAGTTATTTTGATTATTCTCTATCGTGGTGATTTTACGAGGGAGAAAAGAAGTTCAATGGCGACAATGATTGCAAGAAAGCTTCACTTGATCATCCGATTCGAAGTTGGCTCCAAGAGGATGATTTGCCAAATATGTGGGCTAAGAGGAGACGCGTTACTTCGTTCGTTTGGAATATTTGAAATGCCATAAGTTACAAGAATCGCTTCAAGACCACAGTGTCACCGAGCAAAACTGCGTCAAGCTACTCTGCCTGCGAGAGGATTTCAGCGAGGCTATGGATCAGGCCGAGGCGAAGGGCATGTCACGGAGGAAAAAGTAATGTGGTTACGTGTTTCTGAATTGGCGGATGAATAGCTTTGGATGTTAATCAATCTTTGTTTTGTGTTGTTCATACTCAACTATTGTTTTCGAGCCTCAATTAATGTATATCTTTGAAATCTGGCTTTTCTATGTGAGGAGTAGTTTGATTGAAAGAAACAATCCTTAGTATATATTTTGTCCTAAAGGTTTTTGCATTGACGATAAGGTAAGTTTTGAGGTTCGTCAACGTCCGACGGAAGAAGATTATGATGAAACTTAATATGCTATTTGTGTCGTTAAGTAAATATAGATATAGCAGCAGAAAATCACTAAATTTAACTATGAGATGCATAGATTAATCTCTAAGTGGTTTCTTACTCGCTGCACTTACTTGGGATTGGTCATAACAAAGTAATTTCTGACGAATCCTCTAGTTTCGTCATGAATAGCTTGTCTTTAATTAGATTGGAGAGGTGGACTCAATTCGACTTTTGAAAACTAATTTGTGATATCACCTAATCGCTATTTCAAAAAAGAAAGGACAAAAATATGGTTTATACCACGAAAAATCCCAAACTGGTACACCTGTGATAAATTTACCTCAAACTAATTTTTTGACCACCAAAAACCCCAAACCGGTACACTTGTGACAAGTTTACCCTTAGTTTGTTTCCGTTAAATTTTACTGTCAAATTGCTTTATTAAATGGCACGCGGCAGTTGACTTATGTACCAGTTTTTTGTTTTACCCCCCATTTGTCACATGTGTATCGGTTTATGATTTTTTGTGATATTAATCCAATTTAACGGAAACTAACGGAGGGTAAATTTTTCATAAATTACCAGTTTAGGATTTTTAGTGGTCAAAAAATTAGTTTGGGATAAATTTATCAGAGGTCTACCAGTTTGAGATTTTTTATGGTCAAAAAATTAGTTTGTGGTAAAATTGTCACAGATGTACCAGTTTGGGATTTTTCGTGGTATTATCCCACAAAAATAAAAGGTAAACGCGCTGAGTTCACTCTAAATGAGCCTAAGATGGAGTAAAGCTTTTTGCCAGAGATTAAGTTTTGACGAGGCTATTGTGGCCGCGTATTCGAATTAGTAAGAGATGGGCAACCGTATGCCATGGAATGAGATCCTTTGGGTTAATATAAAAGACATCAAATTCAAATTGCAATATTTAAGCAAGAAAAGTCATAAGTAATTGAACCGCCACTTATTATATATGGTTGATATTCCGGCAAAACAAAATAATCACAATATTTAATTTTTCAAGAAATGAGTAGATCCCCTCAAACAGGCTTAGATCCGACACTTTGTTAGATCCCATAATATTTCTTGTCTTGGAATTCTTGAGACAAAGGTTAGGCTTGCTCTTTTTGATGAAATATCTTCTGGATTATTACCGGGATGGATATGGGCGAATAATTACAGTCATTCCCCTCATGGACGTATATGGATTGGGTGGAACCCCCAGGTTATTGATATTTTAATTCTATCCAAATCGGCTCAAGTCATCCACGGACGTGTCGGCATCCGGGCGCTGAATAAGAGTTGTATCGTTTCGGTTATTTATGCTGAACACACTTTTGCTTCCCGTCGTTCTTTATGGGCAGATCTCATCAGTTCCAGTTCTCTTTTTGAGTTGGATGCTTGGATCGTCGCTGGTGACTTCAATGCTATTCGGGATAATTCAGATAGATTGGGAAGTGCAAATGTGTGGATCCCCGCTTTTGATGAGCTTGATTCATGCTTAAATAGTGCAGGTCTTGACGACCTCCGTTATGTTGGACATAGATTCACCTAGACGACTTCCTCGGGTCCTTCTCGTAAACAAAGAAAGATAGACCGTGTGTTGATAAATGATCAATGGACCAACTCTTTCTCCTTCTTGGAAGCTACCTTCCTGGCCCCCGGCGTTTCTGACCATACACCTATGTTCATCAGAATCGTTCCCGTGAGCTCGGCTAGGAAACCTTTCAAATTTTTCAATTGTTGGATGTCACACCCTGCCTTTCCTTCCATTATCTCACAGGTTTGGGGCTCTTCTAGTGGTGGCACCCCCATGTTCAGAATTTACCAGAAACTGAAGTGCCTCAAAGGCCGGCTCAAACAGCTTAACCGAGCTTCTTTTTCGAATATCTCGAATTGTACAGCTCAGGCCAGGTCTGATCTTTTCTCTACACAGGATGCTCTCTCTTTAGACCCTCTTAATGCTGAATTGGCAAACTTGGAAAAAGAGCAGCTCCAGCGCTTCACGACCCTCCGTCTTCAAGAAGAATCATTTTTCAAGCAAAAGTCCAGAATCAGGTGGCTCAATGACGGTGATAGGAACACTAAGTATTTCCATCACTTTGTCAAAAACAACACCTCCAAAACCGTATCCTTTCGATTACGGATGATGCCGGTACCGTCCTCTCTGACCTAGTCGCGGTTCACAACCACATTGTCTCCTATTATGAGACCTTATACTCGGTTAGCTCTGATACTTTAAGCCCTACCGTGGCTGACATTCGTTCCATGACGGAGCGGGTCCTTAATGAGGAACATATCCTCCTTTTATCTCGGGAGGTCACAGATAGTGAAATCCGCAATTCCATGTTCTCCCTTGCCAAGGGTAAGGCCCCAGGTCCGGATGGGTTCAATGTCGATTTCTTCACAGCTTCTTGGGATGTTGTTAGTCCCTCGATCCTCCTGGCCATCAAGGATATCTTCCATTCTGGCTCGCTACTGAAGGAGACCAATAACACCATCCTCACTCTTATCCCGAAGATACCTAATGCTTCGACTATGAGTGATTTCTGACCTATTGCCTGTTGTAACACAATTTACAAATGCATCACCAAGATTCTGGCAAATAGGATTGCATCTGTTCTGCCCTCCATCATTGGCCCGTCCCAGAATGCCTTTGTTAGGGGACGAAGGATTGGACATAATATCATGCTCGCTCAAGAGCTCTTTGCCGGGTTTCACCATAACCCATATTTACCCAAGTGTGCTATCAAAGTAGACTTCCAGAAAGCTTATGACACGGTGGACTGGATGTTTTTGGAAAAGGTGTTGCAGTCCTTTTCCTTTCCCCAGATGTTCATTAAGATTGTTATGGAGTGTGTTACTTCCCCTAAGTTTTCTATAGCCATCAATGGAGAACTTCATGGTTACTTTACAAGTGGAAGGGGCATCCGACAAGGTGACCCTCTATCCCTCTATCTCTTCACATTGGTGATGGAAGTATTTTCCGGGATCCTTAACTCCAAGGCTAGGCTCCCGGCCTTCAAGTTCTACTGGCGTTGTAAGCCTTCCCGTCTTACTCACTTATTCTTTGCCGATGATGTGCTCGTTTTTGTAGAGGCAAATCTTGCGTCGGCAACCCTCTTGAAAGAAGGCCTTCAATTATTTTTGTCCTGGTCACGGCTTAACCCAAATGCCAACAAAAGTGAATTGTTTTTCTCTGGCGGTTCTGAAGAAGTACGAACCCAAATCCGGCTCTTGTTTGGCTTCAACGAAGGTATCCTTCCCTTTAGATACCTTGGCGTCCCTATCATTGCGTCTAGATTGAGTAAGACAGACTGCATTTCCCTCGTAAATTCTATTACTGCTCGTACTCGTTCTTGGTTGCATCGGTTCCTCTCTTTTGCGGGTCGGCTCCAGCTTATTAAATCAGTTCTTCATGCTACCCATGTCTATGGGGCTTCTGTCTTCCCCTTGCCTCGATCTGTGCTTTCCAGCATTGAATTGATACTTAGGCAATTCCTATGGAAAGGCCCGGATTTGGGTGTTGGCGGGGGCAAAAGTGCCTTGGAATGAAGTTTGCCTTCCTAAGGATGAGGGTGGGTTGGGAATTCGCAGACTCCTTGACTGCAATCGGGCGGCTTTACTCAAGCACATATGGATTCTCTTCACAAATAAAGAATCACTTTGGTGCAAATGGATTCACTCCATTTTCTTGAAGAATAAGAACTTCTGGATTGTGCCCAAGCCAACGGTGTGTTCTTGGGCTTGGAAAAAAATCTTAAATCACCGCCATGAATTCCACCTTCAATTCTTTTGGCGCATTGGCAACGGAGTAAACACCTCATTTTGGTTTGACCATTGGCATGCTAAGGGTCCTCTTTACAATTTTTTTGCGGATAGGGATATCTACCGCTCTGGAATTCCGAGGAATTCCTCGGTGAGTGAGTTCTTCTCCTCCGAATGGCCCCAATCCTCAGTCCTAGACACATTTTGCTCCTGGCTGCTTACTGTTTCTCTTGAATCGGGAGCTAGCGATTGCCTCACTTGGCACGGTCACCCCTCGGGCGAGTTCTCTTCATCCAAGGCATGGGAATTCATAAGGATCAAGGGCCAGAAAGTTAACTGGAGCTCATTCATCTGGGATCCTTCCATTGCCCCCAGGTACGGGTTTCTGTTATGGCTCACCACTCTCAATAGGCTTCCTACGCAGGTGTTTCTGTTGAGGCACAATAGGATTGCGGAAGGGGCTTGTGCCTTCTGCCGCCGTAGATCGGATTCCATCGATCATCTTTTCTTCGGCTGTAACATCACTGGCACCCTTGCCAATTTTTGGGCTTCCAAGTGTAATCTTTCCTGGCGTAATGGATCGTGGCATGACAACCTCCGATGGGCCATTCAGGTCATTGGAGGCCATAGTTTCCATCAGCGCATTGCTCGTTTCTCCCTCAGCGCATTATGCCATATCATTTGGACGGAACGAAATGACATCCTTTTTAGGAGCAAGACATTCTTTTTGCCGGCCATCCGCAACCATCTTAATAAGGCGACGAAAGATAGAGGTTTATCCTTTAAACCCGTCGAAGATAGTCCCCGCAACCGGAGAATCCAAGCCAACTGGGCCATCTCTGCCTCAATCTTTGATTCCTAGTTTCGCTTAGCTGTTGTATAGCTTTCTTTTGGCCGGAGTGGTTGGCCCGTTAATTTCGCTCTTGCGGCTTTCTAGCCTTGTTTAGTCGTACACCTTGTACCCGTTGGAACACCTTCTTTGTTCCCTCGGGTACGAGGTTTTTGAGTACGACTTCCCTTCATTGTAATTGGTGCGTTAAAAGTATATATACATCTTACCTTACCAAAAAAAAACAAAAAAAAAATTCCATATGTTGTAAACAGTAAGCTCCGTGGGAAAATCTTTTTATTGGTTTAGAAATTGAAATACAAGTAAGCTCCGTGGGAGCAAGAAACTTCAGCTTCCCTTAATTTTGATCGCAACAAAATAATTAATGCTCGACATGATTTTAGATGGAATTAGATAATATATATTTTATTAGTATAAAAAAGCACTTAATTTGTAGCCGAGAACCGGCCGGAACTCTCTCAGTGGGTGTAAATTATTCTTTTTCTTTCAAAAATTATATTTTTTTTTTTATACAGAATTATGCATTGGCAATTTATGTACAAAGATCAACACACTATCCGCCTGCACGAAGTCCAATTGATGAAAACCTAAAAAATGACAGGAATTGACATATATGGAGAACACATTAAAATTTTGTGCAATGACGCATTAGCCCGAATAACTCGAATTTGATACATAGGCATCAATTATTGACCCTGATTTTCGTTTAGGATTTAATTACCAGATGAAATTACTTTGTTCAGTTTTATTACTTCTTAACTAAATAAAAAATCCTGCAGGAGAAATTTTCCCATGAAAATGTTTTCCGTAGATCGATTAATTTTCCGTCGTCCAAACATCGGAACAGTCAGGAATCAATTTCCCAAAAACAGTTTTCTTTCAAACTAACGGGCCTAAGTTATGTTAGCATTTGTCTTGGGGATAACACTTCAGTCATATACCATATAAATTAATTTAAGTGTTGGATATTAGAATATATAATTTAACTGAATCAATATTTATTTGAGGATACTCTTTAATTACATTGGTTTCGGATACCACGAAAGACTACATGGGTTTATATATGTACCGTAGATGTACTCTTATAATTTTACTCTTTATATATGTACGTTTTAATCCAATTATAGTTCCTTGCATTGTGATCGCATTAAAGTTCCCAGCAATTCCTGAGAAGAAAAGAAAGTAAAAAGAAGTGTTCAATGGCGAGAATTACAAGAAAGCTTCACTTGATCATCGAAAGGATGAAGCACAGATCGCCAAGATTGGCTCCAAGAGGATGCTTTGCCATGGCATATATGCGGGCGAAGTGGAGGTACGTTACGAGGTTCCTTTGGAGTTCTTGGAATACCAAAGTTTCCAAGATTTGCTTCGAGACGAAATCGTTTCAAGAGTGTGATCGTGTCAAGCTACTTTGCGCACAAGAGGATTTCGATGAGGTTCTCCATCAGGCGAAGGTGGAGCGCGAAGAGGCCAAGCATATGTTGCGGAGGAAAGAGCAATGGATTACGTGCTTCTTAATTAGATGAATTGTTTTAATGCAGATTCAGACTCCAAAAAATAGATTTGATCGATGTTGATTACTTTTTTATTTTTGGTGTTAGTTCCAACTACCTATATTAGTTTTGTAACTAGAGCTATGCGCATCCCTGAAATTAGACTAATGGCAGAGTAGTTTGATTGAAAGAAACAATCGTGACCTGTTTGTTTTTTTATTTTCCAAAGATTTTCGCATCGGTCTCATGCTATTTTTCAAGATTCGACAGTGTTCAAGCAATGACAATTGTTCAAATGAAAATCACTAGTTTAAACCACCAAAAGATTCAAATACCAAAAAGAGAAAATGAAAAAGACGTCCATCTAGTTATGCAATATGGCTTAGATAGGCATCAAAATCTTCCCGAATGTTGACAACCCTCTTTTTGCATGAGATTAAAACACACGCTAACCTAACCATTGGTGAATTGGTAAATGGATCGGATGATAATTTACCGCAATGCTGATTTACTGCGTAATTGTGATATCAAGTTCAGTTTAGCGCAATTATTCGATGTCAGATCAGGAAAAAGTAATTTCTTGAGAATCCCTTTATCCAGAATGTGAATGATCTACCTGAAGTGATGCTTTGCCACAATGGTAAAAAAACTCAATGCGCACGCGAACACATAGTCTAAATACAAATATTATATTTTCGAGAAATTCTTGCACTGATATTTTATTGACTACGTCGCGATCATCGTACTTATATTCAAAGAAAATGAAAAACGATCATCATGTGCCTCGCGATTTATCTGAGATATCTAACCAATCATAGGTTGGATCGAATCAAGAATCAACATCATACATGCGCTGCCATCTTTATTTGGCAAGCATTGTAATTGTATGATAAATGTCGTCCCGTTTTTTGAAGTATTTAAGGGAAGATAAATGGAAGATTTTTATTTAAGGGAAGATAAAAGGAAGATTGCATACATGCATATCGTGGACAGTTATTTAATTAAAATTCTAAATAGAGTACACATAGCAACTATATCTTTTTGTTTAGGCCCGACAGTTATCAACTGAAAAACAACTTCTTCTTTACTAGTTCTTTTAGGAATAGTAGATGTAACATCCCGAATTTCGACTCGTATCCGGGATCAATAATATTGATATTATTCCTCATTTAATTTTAGTAAGTCTCGCCCGAAATTGAGCTCTCTCGGGATATTAACCGATAGGAAATGGCTAATTAGGAAACGGTACGTGGACCAGGGACCCGATCACGATTCGGACACTGATTCCGAGAAATAACGAGGATATATTTTGGGCCAATGTGGGCCGATCCTAGGAGGGTGAAGGATTTAGTTTGGCCAATGACGTATGATTGGATCGCGGGTGATTCCGCACGATCGAGAGTACACGTGGCCAACCAGTCCCGAACTTAACCCGAACGATCGTGACCTCTGGAACTAGTGATGATTCCTCTCTCTCTACGATCGGAACCGTCATGACTCGGATAACCCTAGGTCGATACGCGTAACCCCTAAATAGCCGCCCGTTAGTGAGAGACCCTGAAATTTGAAATCGAGCGAGTTTTGATCACGAAATTGGGCCCGGATTTTGATGTTGATTTTCGATGGTTTAAGAGACTATTTTTGGGAATCTGACGTCAGATTAGGCTGGCCACGCATATTTTGAGTTAGTACGGTTGAAAATTGGAATTTCGGTCCGAGGGTGAAAAATTACGATTTTGCCCCTCGGGACACCGACTTGGATTTTGAGGCCGTATGAGGTTATTTTTCGAAGCCGATGTCATTTTGGGGTGGCCACGCACATTTAGAGTTGTTTCGGTCAAAAATTGGAATTTTGGCTCGGAAGTGAAAAATAATATTATTTTATTTCCAGAACTCGGCAGTCGATTTTCGAGAGCTTAAGAGGCTATTTTCGCGATTCCGACGCCATATTATGTTGGCCACACACATTTGGGGTTGGTACGGTCAAAAAATGGAATTTCGACCCGGGACCGGAAAATGACCATTTTGCCCCTAGGCCTAATTTTGGGATTCCGAATTTTTGAAAAATTATTTTGGGGATATTTTATGGATAATATCAGCCCAATAATGCAGCCTAGTGAATTACCAAAATACCCCTCATTTATTGGATAAGGATTAATGTGGGCCAAGTGTTCAAGGGCGTTTTGGGCATTTTGGAAATGTTGGTCCAATTAGTCAACTTTCTCTCTCTCTCTCTCCTCATTTCCAACCCTCACCGCCGGTTCCCCCACCATTTCCCACGATCAGCCCCTTTCCTCTCTCTCCCTCCCTTGCTCGGCCGTGGACGATCGCCGGAAGCCACCGTGCGCCGCCGCTCGCCGGAAGCCACCGAGCGCCGCCGCGCCACCGACCAACCTCACCACCACCCGACAGCCACTTTCTCTCCTCCCACAGCCGACCATCACCATCACCGTCGCCCTAGCCGTGACCGCCTTGAGCCGCCGTTCGCCGGACCGCCGCCGCCGACCGCCGCTCGCCGGCGATTGGCCGCCCATTCTCCCCGCCGAATCAGCTTAGGATTAAGTGAGTATTAGTCCCTAATCCTTAATTAGGATAATTAAGCATTTCTAGATAGGATTAGTGGGTAATTAGTGGTTAATTAGACTTATTTAGGCTTGATTAGGCTAGATTAATGGCCTATGGTTTATGGATTAGTAATATGACGATTTGAGGAGCCTAATGAAGTCATTTGACGCCATTGAAGGGTCGGAATAGTGGCTGCCATTACTAGAACCGAATTTGGTTCAAGTTGGTTTAATTGGCAATTAATGGTATTATGGTGATTAATGCTTCCCATTGTGCAATTTGTGGTGGAATTGTGTTGATTTGGGTTGGAATTTTGTGATGCCAAGTCGTGTGCTAATTATGGCCTATTGTGATGTGCTCATTTATAGGCCGAGGCCAAATTGAATTTAATAGGGCATTTAAGCATGTTAATATGTTGATTGGGCATATTGTGATTGGTTGTGAACATATCTTGACATGTTTGGAATATGTGCCTATGTGATATTGAATGCTCAATGTACATCATGTGAATGCCCGAGTGCCGAAATTGCATGACCACGCATTTCGTGTGCATAGAATGGGCATGAGAAGAAAAGTGTGCAAGTTTGCGTGCCTGACATGAGCATGTGTGATCACCCTAAATGCTCATATGCGTTTACGCGGGGCTCAGATAAAATTTAGGCAGTGTGCCGTGTGATCACTTATTTGGCCTTCGGGTCGTGCCGTCCTCATGCACTTTGAAGCAGGACGATGCCCGGTTTGTCCGGAAGACGGCATTGGTCCGTAAGGAGATCGGTGTTGCGCCTCATAGACTTTGGAGCAGGCTAGAGACACCGGGCCAGATGCGCTTTGGCGCGGGCCGCGGAGTGTTGTGAGCCTTCAAGCCGTGGCCTTCGGGTCGGTTTATAAATTGCTAAAATGAGACGTGTGCCAGAGTGCATGATTTGAGGAGATTCATAAGCATGACAAATGTAT